GGCAGGTTATCGCCCAACTCACGGCAGAGGGGAGGAAGGGGTAGCTAGCAGGGCTCGGTTACAGCGGTGCTGTGAATCTCCAGACAGCTGCATCACTGCCTCACTGTCATAGATACGCATCTGGATGGCTTTTGCAGCTGCATGAAGTCACGGTTGTTCAGCGTGCGTCTCTCAAAAGCGCTGTTTAAGCTGCCCATCGAGGCTCCGAGGGACTGAAGCCATCACGCTGTTATTCCTATGGGCAGTCCAAAATGCACCCGTTTGTGGTACTGAATGCTGTAGTGCTTCCAAACAAGTTTTCTTTTAATTTAGTGAAGCTGTTGTCTATTGGTTTGACAAATACTGGGTTTTATAGAAAACACTGATTTGAACAAGCGAGAGCATCATCTTGATTTTTGCCTGAAACAAACCCGATTGCTTCAGTTGTAATGAGATGGGTTTAGTAGTATTTTATTTTGAAAACCCTTCTTGACGTTATCTAAACAGCCATCTTTAAGAAGTGGACTACTTGATGGATGACAGTGGTCCCAGCCTGTCTCCTGGATAGTAAACCTCTCAATAATGCATTAAGTGAAATAATAACATAGTCAGTTAAGACTAGACTCTTAAGTGGTGAATATTAAGGGTTGTTTAAAAACAATTGATAACGCAGAACCTACTGCATTATTTAAAGGTTTTTTGAGAATTTACCAAATCTTAAGACAGGAAAATACTTTGATGCTTCTTCAGAATAAAATGCAGCCTGCTGTAAGCTTCTAGTAGGTATGATGAGGGCTGTGCATCCATAGATGCTTGCCAGTTCCACTGAAGCTTGGTTTCATTAGCTTTACAAAGTGTTAACGAGAATATGTTAATACAGCATATTTTTGGGTGGAAGGGTGAGGAAGCAGAAATCCTTGAGTAAGTCTGCTGTGAAATGATTTTTATTGGTACCTTCACCATGCCCACAGGGTCAGCTGCCACCAGATCTGCTCAGACTGTCTCTCTTCTGCTTCCTGGTATTCCTCACTTAAACACACACCCCTCAGCCCTCTTGAAATCCAGAGGCTGTCCTGAAAGGGTTAGGCATGTAAACACTATTATTGCAAGAAATATTTTCAGGTTTTTTTCAACTACTGCCTTTTAATATGTGCAAGGTATTGAAATGATGGATTTTTTTTAGTTACCTGCATTATTTGTCAAGAAAAACTTTTAATATTCATTCTTTTTTAACCTTCTTCTGTAATGCTTTATGCTTCCTTCTACTATGGTCTTCAGTAAGTGTGATTAAAACATTGAGGGAGGCTGACAGCATTTTCCCTGCAAGCTGATAATGAGAAAAGAGCTAAATAAAATTCTGAGCAGTCCATAAACAGCATTTTTATACCTTAGTGCTAAGTATTGTGATGAATAACTTCAGTGAGAAAGCACAGCAGGACTGGGAGAATTGCAGACCTCAATTTCTGCAGTTTTGACACGCTGCAGTCATTAAAACGTTGCCATCAGTTGTTGGGGAGATTCAGTTTTGTCCTGTTTGTCAACAGAAGACTGTTAAAGAAAACACTGCAGCAGTTTTCTTCCTTTGAATTTTCTTCTTCTGAATTGCTCTTCATAGGTTCTGTAGTATAAATTTTATTTTAATTTTGCTTAGGCATACTTCATCTGGCTTAAATATTTCATGTAGTAGCAAAGACTGGGGTATTTAGTGCTTTTAGTTAAGAAGTTCTTGAATGCTTGAAAGTCATGTTTATGTTCTGGGTTCTTTTATATCTAGTTTTGATAAAAGATGATGCTGTCTTGCTGAAAGTAGCTGATCATTGCCTTTTCATCAGCCTGTTAGTATTGCTGCAGAACTTGTTTGCAAAAGTATTTTTTTTCCCCATAGCTCATAACATGAGTAGGTAGCACCAGTCTGCTGCTAGAGCAGTAAATTAATTACCCCAGTTCTTGGGTATCCTAGGAGGAGGACTCTACAGCTCTTAACTATATTTGAAGATACCTTGATTCTGAAGCAGGTTTCATGTGGAGCATTCACTCATTTCATAGGCTGTCCTTGAAATTTCCACAAACACAGGTGACTGTTAGCACCTTGGTGGTGTAGACTGGGACATCCATGTTTCAAAGCTGAAATGTCCTTAATGTCACATTTTTTTTTGATGCTGTGTTGAGTTCCCTTATTCATTGCCTGGAGGGCAGTAAGTGAATTGAGGAGCTCAAGGCTTAGGACCATTGATCTGCTGCTGCCCCTACACCATTTCTAATAGCACGACCTGTGATTTTAAGCGTTGTGCTCTGCTTTTTTTTTTTTTTGTTAACTTGTGTTTTTGAATGTGCCCAACATTTTTTATGCTCCTTCTTGAAGTTGCCAGTCCCATGTGATTACCCATCCTTTATATCTCAGTGCAGACTGATAAGTTCAGTCACTTCTGCCATTTCTTTTGCAGAATTTCTTTTATTGAATTCAACCTTGTCATGTTAATACACGTATTAAAACTTTCCCTGGTCTTTTTATAGACCCTGGTATGAAATTGATACTGGCTTTCAAAGGCAGTGTTCCCCTGGAAGTGGCATAGCACTTGTTCACTTGACCGCTTGTGAATGTGGCTTGTGGAAGTGTAGCTCCAGTAAGCTGCTGGTCCCAGCTGGTGTAAATCCAGCACCTCTGTACCCATCTCTTTCAAGTGCATTAAATGCATGAGAGCAGCAGTTTCCCTTTTAATATCCCTTCCATTCTTCCACTACTAGCTTCTTTTCTTGCTTCCTCTAACTTGTTAATCTATTGTCTTTTAAGTAATTTCTTATTAGAACAGTGTTTCAAAGAGCTTCTGAATATAAAGATGATCAGAAATTGTCCCTCTCCTTCTGCATGGAAAGAATAGCAAAATGCATCTTCAGAGCCTGATGCAGCTTTTCCGGTGGTTTAGTTCAGGTTTCCATCATCTCTTTGGTGAGGTTAGTCAGCATTTCTCATTCAGTCCCATCCTCAGGTATTTGTGACTTTCTGGAACCAGCCTTTTGAGCCCAGCTATCTCACAGTAGCTGTGTAGATACTTGTGGCAGTGCCTGTATGTGACCCATGTAAATGTTCAGCCCAGTGCCATTCCAGTGACTTCTTTGGTGTTAGGTGCCTGACACCAGTTGTGGTGCTGACCTTTAGGTGTTGGGCATATTCCTTTTGCTGTGACAAACCAAGCTAGAAGCCTCTCAAAACTCAGTTTAACAGTTCTTGGTAGAAGCTGCAGCACTTTGTGGCATTGGTCCCTCAAAAGCATTCTCTCTGGTGAACAGGACTCTTCTGTAACTGAGTCTGGGTTACCACGTGTTGTTCTGGGTTTAGGTAAACAGTTGAGGACTGGAAACATCAGTCTGGTGTGCTCCCAAAGTCCCCTTGCTGTTGGTCAGACCTTGCCAGGTGAGGGTTTGCATCTTAGGCAGCAGGGAAGCAGTTAGGGTGATGAGGACTAGAGGTGGGACTGGCAGGAAGAGCAGCAGGCTTAAAGCCAAACTTGAAGATGTTAAGACTCACTGAGCCAATAGGTCAGGAACAGGGGTTGAGAGCAGTGAAAACAGACTGGAGGCTGAAGGGTGTGTGGGGAGGTGATCGTTGTGTGACAGCTAAATTGGTGAATGGAAAGGTCATAGAAAAAGGGAGGTCTCTGCTGAAGGGGTAGGAGGTCTGTGGTTGGGCAAGGAGGCTGTGGCTTGGCAAGGAGACTGAGAATTTGGGGACAAACATGTTAGAAAAATGTGGGAGTGGGGGAGAAACAGCATGGGCACGATGTTAGGAGTGGAGGTGTATCTTGTGCATGGTACTGTAACTATAGCATTTTGTAGCATCTGCCACTTGATAAACATGTATTGTGAACAAGTTTTAGCTGCAGGAGGTTTCAAATGCCAGTTGTCTGGTAACTGCAGAGCTTTAAGTAACATTCAGACAGAATTTTGTGTTCCTTTCTGGCCTGGAATCCAAAACAATAAGCTTTAGGAAAATGCAACAAACAAATTTATCAACAGAGTAGTGGGAGGAAGAATCCTGTGCCATGCATATGTCCTTTACCATTGATCTCAGTATCCAGCTTAATTAGTAGTCATTAATTGATAACAAATATGGAAGTTACATATTGGAGTTTATAGCCATAACTGTGTTATACTTACTGAGATAACAAGATTAAATCCAAACTATTACAGGACTCTTCTAAGCTTCAGTGTTTTTTCTTTTGCTTAACTTCTTCCCTGAAACAAGATTACCTCTTGTTCAAAGAGTTTCTTTCAGTGTCAGTTCTAGCTTTAGTCAAAACAATTACCTGAAATAGCTCTTGAAATTGAAATATGGCTGTATATAACTCACTGACACAACTTTTAAAAGGTGAAAATCATAACTGGATTGAATAAGGACAAGTAGTAATGCGTTGAAAGAAAAGATACATATTACAAGTATTAAACCTTGATGGGATAGCAAATAACTCATGCCTCTTGAAATAAGAATCAGTCAGTGCTGCTGTGTTGCTTCTGCACATTTCCCAGCTGATTTCCTTTTCTGGGAATTTTATCACAGGATTATAATTAAGGTGTTGCACGAGGCTGTCTGTTCTGCCAGTCAGACGTGCTGCGTAGCAGCTGCCTGGGCATAGGAATGCTTCAGGCTGCATGGGACTGCAGCTCCCCTGGGCTCATCCCTTCCCCAGGGAGTCTTTGGATCGGCTGCCCCTCAAAATATTGGTGGTATCTCTCTACTTACTGTGTGACAGTGATTGAGGGTCAGCCTTTAAAATGATTTCTGTGTGTGTACCTGAGACAGACCAGCTCTGGCAACTGGTGCTGGCCTCGGAAGAGTATTGGCTAAGGTGCAATCAATATTGAGATATCAGACCTTTAAAAAAAAAAGAAAGAAAGAAAGAAAATAAGTTTTTTTTAAAATTAAATAAAATAGCTAACGCTCAGGGTGTGGGATCACAGCACTGGCCTTTTTTCTGTGAAAAGGGGACAAAGTCTGATAACAGTCAACGCAGCAACCTCAGCTGAAGTGGGGTGTCACAGCTACATTCTGAGCAACCCAGGAGCAACATAACCACAGTGTATGAGAGAAAGCAAAGAGGAGACAGTGTGCTCTTATCTCTGAGAGAGCCTCTGACAGATAACATATTCATTTCTCCTTTGCCCCCACAAGACGGTTATCCCTCTTAAAAGGGGGAAGCTGAAGGACCTGGTCGAGCAATTGGAAAGGATGAGGAGGACAGTACCGCTGCTGTGCTACCATCAGCTTGCCTCAGTCATTGAGAATGCCTGGTTGGATCTATTGTGTTAATTGAATCCCTAAAATGCTGTCACAAACATTAGGCCTTCAGCAAGGAGGGCTCTTGAGTTTAAAAAAAAAAAAAAATAAAAAGGAGAAACAGCTATATGCAAATTGAGCAGTTCTGTGTGTTCTGTATGAGGAAAATGAAGCTCTCCTGAAGTTCAGAACATGCAGCCTAACAGTTGATACTCAAATCACAGCTGATCCTTCTGTAACGAGGCTCTTTTGTGATATTGGGGCTTACATTAGAAAAGGAGATATTTACAATAGCATTGTACATAGCTCTTTAACCCAGCAGGCTGCCACTTCTAACAGAAGATTGCTTTTTTCCAATATGTTCACAGTACATGGGTAGACTTTGGAAATGAAAAGCAGAATAAATAACTTGTATTCCAAATTAACCAGAGGATTAGCACACCTATAAGGAAACATATTTAGACAGCTTTCTGTATGCTTTTATCTTCTAAAATTATGAAATTACATGAGTGACTTCTGGTCATATCATTTCCTGTGCAAGTGATTCGTTTTAGAATTAATTTAATGTGAAGCTGCTTTTCATTCTGGTGTGGATGTCATCCAGGTAATACTTGCAAGCCTTAGTCTTTTAGATCCTAATTGGACTTTGGACAGCAGATCATAGGTGGCATGATAATTGAGAGCTATAGATGATGATTCTTGCTGACTCTGTTTATCTGTGTCCCTCACAATGCCAGCTGACGTGCCTGGCACGTTAGGCATAGAGCAGGTGGTTTATTTTAGCCAGCTAGAAGGTTGACCATGATTATAAGACTTCCACTTTTTTCAGAGTGTATTAAATCTGTTGAAAAGACAAGCAGAAAAATTCAGACTTTCCATTCTTGTTCCTGAATTTTATGTAGTTAAAAGGGGAAAGATTATGTAACGTTTGTGTGTGTCTTTACACTAGTGTAAAGACAAGTGGGTTGTGACTTTTTAAGTCTCAGGTGACTTGCAGTTATTCAGTTCAGATTTATCTAAGCCCACCAGATTTTCCTTAATGTTTTTGTATTGTTCAAATAGTGCTAAAATAATACTGCCAGCTGTTAATTTTTCATCCTCCTTGTCGGGAAAAACATGCTGTATATCTTTGTGTTTGTTGGTCTATATCTGGAGAGCTTTTATCTCTTAGTATCTTGTTTCTTACTCCTGTTACTCTAACCAGTAATGTTTCATAGCTCTCTCCACAAATGAAAAAGACACTGATCTCTCTGGTGGTAGAAAATTTTGTACTGGTTTTCCTATAGATGGGATTTCTGTTACCTCTTACTACTTTCTCTGTCAGTTTTTAAGCTAAAAAAATTCAAGCTGTACAAATTTAAAGGTGCCTACATAACTGTTTCTGTAAAGCTGAACTGTATAGCAGACTTTTGAAGATGTTGCTTTCCTTTTCAAGGTGCCTTTAGCCTTTTGATGCTTTTATGATTTTTCATTCTAATAGCCCATTACCCTGGTTTTGTGGCCATTTTCGTTTTCACTTGATATTTTAGATTTGAGCATGATTGTACTGAAGCAAACTGGATGCAACCCACAGAGCTACTGCTCTTCATCCACCCCATATATTTTAAGTAATTTTGTTGGCCATAGTGTCTACTTGCAAAGTTAATTTTGGCAGTTTGAGGAGATTCTGTGGAATTGAGACCATTTATTGGTATTTTGCAAAGGATGTATCCCACTTGAGATTCTTGAATCTGATTTTGCTGGAGAAGGGTGTGATTTTTAGCTTTCAAGGCTTCAGAAATTTCCTGTCATAGTCTGCTGGTACTTTCCCCATCCTGCATTTTTAAGTGGAAATGTTCTGGACAAGGGGGAATTGTGCATTAAACTGGTTTTATCCGAATAGAGGACATCAAAATTGGTTTCACATGTGCTGTGTTATGATTCTACCACATTTTCAAAAAGAACTGTAATTCCTTTTAAAAATTTACTGTTCATCTAAATGTAAGACTACAAAGAGAAACTACAAAAGTGCAGTGGGTCTGGAAGTGGACTCCTGTGATCATTGCTGTTTGTGGTGCCTGTCACCAGTGCTCCAAAACCGTGTGTGTGGATCAGTGCTAGCTAGAAATTTCCAAAGGGACTTGAGTAACAATGTCAGGACAGCAGAAGAAAACCCGCTGTAAAATTTGGCTTCAGGCATCTGTATTTCATATTTTCCCTGAGCTTTGTATAAAACAAAAGCACAAATGTGAAAAAACAAAAAGCAATCAGCCCTCGATGTCTGAAATGTCTAATACGACCTTGAAAAACAATTGTGCAAAGGATGTGCTTGTGTGGCTCCCCACCCTCCTTCCAGGGGAACAGGGAGAGGCACTTGGCCAAATTAAGAGATGCAACGTCTTCCTGTACAACTGCCACAATATAGATTCATCTGCATTAGTTTTCTTCAGGCAAACAAAAGATTTTCTTTCTTGTTTCAGGAAAAAAATCGTTTAGCTGTGTTACAGGTTTTAACCTGAGCTGTGTTAAGCTGAGAATGCTTAAAAAGATCTTTTGTTTTGTTTCCAGCTAGTATGTTAAACTGGGTATTTTTTGTTTTTGCAGTAGATCTTTTGCTGTAATCTCAGTCTCTGCTGAAGAGCTCATTTGAAAAAGAAAAAATTATGGGACACTTCATTTGAATTGATCTTAGGAACTGTCATATTTTCAGAGCTATTATGCAAGTGAATTGTTTATGTCTTGAAAAAGAGCACTGTTTATCCCAGCCATTTTTAGTAGCCAGATTCTTATACTCTTGGCATTTGAAAGGGTAAATATATTTGTGTTGGAAATTGCTGTTGGCTGTAAATTTCTAAAATCCTTTAAGGATGTGACCAGTGTATGAGATTGAATGTGTTCCCTGTTGCGTAAACAGAAACGTCTGCCATCCCTTTCAGCTGCTGTACCATGGAGTTATCTCCTGAGTTGCATTTTGTGCCTTTTGGATGTAGCTCTGTGCAGGTTTGGGTTGTTCCAGGGTACATGACAGCGTCAGGAGGGATGAAACAGCTTTGCATGCTATTGAATTCAGACAGCTGGCATTTGCCATTTCTGTTACTTTTCCTCTGTGCCATCAATACCTGTTCAGCTGACAACTTGATGTTTGCAAACCCGTTTGTTTCTCTCTGAATCTGAATGTGCTTCCTTGTAGGCAAAATGGGGATACATAAACAGCCGACGCTGGCTGCTAGGGTTTTACAAGATCAGCTTTTAATATTGTCCTTTTTTACAGTAGCCTGCACGTGGCAGATAGCTCTGAAATCTTATTTTCACAGCCTCCTTTGTTTAGTTATACTTCCCACTGTAGTGATATTTATGATTGCATTAGAAAGAAAAAGAAAAAAAAAAGCCTTCCCAGAATGTCTGATAAACAGCTGTTTTGTAAATGCCTGTAGCATATGAACCGTATTCTAATGTTTTCCAGCCTCTAGGCAGGTATTGATTCAAATGTGGATTCATTGTTCTAGCTGCTCTAGAGTTAAAAATAGCTTGTGTCAGTGAGCCTAATTCTTGGGCATAGAGTCACAGCTTCCAGTGAGCAAGGCTTAGTTTTTTAAAAGACTTTTTCCCTTAGAATGCAGTTATCTTTGCTTTGTTAACAAGAGGGTAGAGGCTTCCTCATGTGTAACAGTTAAGCAACTCAGCAAAACTTGGGGTTAGCTTTTTTTTATCTTTTTTGCCTGTTTGAACAAGTTGCCATCTGTGTAAACGTGTTTCCCGTTTCAGTTGCAGATCGCCTGGGCTGTGACCCTCGAACACGTTTCCAGGTTCCACCAAACACCAAGCAGTGGATTGCTTTACTACAGCGAGGAAACTGTACGTTTAGAGAGAAAATACTGCGAGCAGCTTCACATAATGCCACAGCTGTGGTCATTTACAACAATATATCCAGTGAAGAACCTGTCACGATGACTCATCAAGGTAAATAAACTCTCTCTTTCCCTGTGATTCTTCTTTGTCCCGAGTGTTCTTTTGCCATACAAACTATTGCTCAAGAGCTCTTGGCATTGCATGGGTGCTACTTGAAACAGCCTGTTCTCTAGTTATGTTTGTGTGTATGCAATATAGTGAAATAAGGCAATAATTCTGAAAAGTTATTCTCCTCTAGTGTATGTTTTATCCAGTGAGGAACTCTCTTACCTGCAGTGGGGATGTGTTAGGGAGTGAGGAAATATCTGTAAGATCTTAGGAACAATCAGTTTGAAACCTTACTGAAGTAGAGAAGTTAATATACAATGTAAGGTCTAGAATTTTACAAAGCATCTGTACCTGAAGAAATTTCATAGTAGCATGTCTTCAACTGGCTGTTATGGTGACTTTGAGATGTTACCACCTACATCAGTCTCTGAGCTTGCATGCTTTTTAAATGACAGTTTACAGAGGGTTTTCTTTCTAGGCTGTGTCTGATTGCCATACAAGAGTCAACAAAACAATGATTTAGACAACAGTTGCCTCTGTAAGTTGTCTAGAATTAGACTATTGCTGGTCTAGAATAATGCTGAAAATCCAGGTTTCCAATGATTTCTACTTTTTTAGGGCTATCTATGTGTAAAATTTCACTGTTACTAGTGAGTTACTTTAGCCGGTGGGAGCCTGCCACAAACATTTTCCTTGGTTAAATATTTTCACAATTCTGATAACTACATTTTTCATTTTCATAGAAGGTTTTCTCTATTTGGAATTATGTAGCTTAATCAGAAAAGGCATATTTCTATAAGTGATGGCTGTTCTGCTAGCTGATTTTTTTTTTTTCTAGAATATTTTCAGTCCTTTTTCTTCTAAGTATAGGAGGTTGCTTGGAAACTGGAATTTCCTAATTATTGCTCTGCATATTGTCACACAATTAGAATTCTTTTACTAAAGAAGTGCTAGGGCTGCATCTTTCCCTCTTTTTTTTTTTCTTTTTTTTTTTTTTTTACGAGGGGAATGTCTTGTGGCTTTTTCTGGTTTAGTGGGGTTTGACCTTTCCAATTCTGTATACCACAGGAATTTTCCAAGGAGATTTTGACCTCTGTGTAACAAAGCCTGTTGACAATCCATTTTTATCTTAGGTGCATTCCCTAGACATTTTTGCAAGTAATCTGCAGGCAAAAAGTCCCATGTTGCAGTGTACACTTTTTACCACCTTGCTTTTGTGAGGGTTTTGTTCTTGGGTTTTTTTGCCACTTCTCTCTCTGCTGAACTAAAACCAGCTCTGGTCTCTCTCTGAAATTCCTGTAAAGTTGGAAGATATGCAGTGTCTGTTTAGCAATGGTTTGTGACTTCTGTGGGGCCTGGAATTCCTTACTGTGACAGAAGAAAAGACTATTACCAGTGACAATACAGCTTGCTCTATTCTGTGTTAAATCAGAGAATGGCTTTGTTTATAACTTTAGCATCTTTCTCGTCGTGCTGTTAGATTGGGCAAGTTGCTTTTGTAGCAGTGGGGTGGTGTCTGCCTTGGGTTAAGGAGTCCTGGTTCACTTAGTGTTTCAGCTCTGAAAATGGGTGTATAGCCTCTGAAATTCTATCAATAGGTTCAGTGGTTCTGGGAGGCTGAAGTAAGGTCTCAAGTTATAAAATGTGAGAGTTGCTGTGGGTAAAATGGTGTCTTGTAAGCTAGCCAGGCAACTGTTTGGATACTTGATATTTGTTAAAAAGCTAATACTGCCTTCAGCATGTTGACTTCCAAATATTTGCTCTTACTCAAGGCGAGCTTTATGAAAATGTAATTACTGGAGACGAGGCATATTTTGAGTATTGGAAGTTCTGGGTTTTAGCTGCATGTACTCAGTCCCTGGTATAATGGAATCTCTGTCACTGATTTGGGCTGTAGGCACTATCTCAAAATGAAGATTGGATTTGAAGTGTTCAAACTATGCAACAGACTAAAAGTAATTATCTAGCACTGAAGTACCCACTTAGCACCACAGTGTAGTGAAGAGGAATATTGCTCCACAGCCTTTGTTTTGATTGCATTATGGTTGTGTAAGGGACCTCCTTATTAATCTGCACGTCACAGAGCTTCCTATAAATAATTTCCTGTTTGCTTGCTGTAGGAGCTGCAAGTGTGTGTAACTGTAGTGTAGGTTAGTCCTTTGGTGTTAGCCTCAGCACAGGAGGGGGTTGGAATCCAGCATTCCCCTCAGTGAGAATTATCCCAAGTGGGATGTAGGTTCATGGATCTGTGCTTACGTGACGAGCCTGTTCAAACAAACGCTGTGTATAAAGCCGTCTCACACACATTCAAGGCATTTTCTGGCCTTCCTTTTTTCTGCCTTTTGAACTGTATTATTGCTTTTATGCTGTTAAGGTGGTGAATGACCACATCATCTGATAATTAGATATTCTGGTGCACTACATCTCTTCTCTTTAGTCTTTTCTATCCCTAAAAGTCAGGAGGAGTTGACCCTGTGTATTTCGTAGCTGGTCTGCTGCTGATCGAGTTAAATGTGTGTTACATAGAGTTGATATAAAGTGAAAATGAAGGTGAGCCACCAAGTTGGCCCTATTTCCATATCGTGTCTAGTGCTGTGCAGTGTTCCTCTATTCTTTTAAAAATGCATTCTTCACAGGACAATTTTGCAACTGTGTTATGAGAACCAGGTTCATGGCTCCTACAGTTTTCTTTCCATAGACGTGTGAAAATAGACCTTGTGTCATTTTCTATCACTGTGACAATTTTTATACTGCTGTGTACCAAGCTTTAGGAATATATTATGTCTTCTGGTGAGGCAGAGAGGAAAGTGGCAACTGCTGCTAACTGCACGATTTCCTACTTTGATATTTGCATGAATTCCAATCACCAGCTTAAGCAACGTCTGTGCTAAAAATAAATGCTCTATAGATTTATGAACATTGCCCACCTGCAGAGAGGTGATTGCCTATGAAAAGAGCTCAGTAAGCAGTTCTCACCTGTGGGATTAATATTTTATCCAAGTCATTTTATGCTTGAACACACATTTGAAAATTTTAATCATATGGAAATTTGTGCATACTCAGTGT